TTTCTAATAGGCTCCACACCCAGCATGGAGCCCAAGGTGGGGCTTAAACTCTTGACCCTGAGATCAAGACCTGAGCTGAGATCAATAGTCGGATGCTTAACCAACCAGGTGCCTTGAGATTCTTGAAAGAAGGGAAAACCCCACTGTCACTGAGTTTCTACCTGGGGGGGATGGTGGCCACTGAACTGGGGAGGGAGAGGTCAGAGTTTGGAGCTGCTGAGATGCCTGGAGTCTGTGGGGCAGAGTACTGAACAGAAGGGAGCTAGGAAAGGAGCTCTGGAAATCTCCATAAGGGTCCCCTCAACTCTTGGGTCAAATACTCAGCTGTAGAGAATAGCACCCTACAAGGTCTAGTAGAAACAGCTGTAGAGAGTTGTGAATTGATTACTTGGAGACCTAGGAGTTCTGACCATGCAGAGTAGAAACTTTACTGAACCCACTGGACACGCTACTGACATCTCAAAAAACCCACAGTTTAGTGGCAGGGGCACTCTAGCCCCAGAGTAAGGATGATGCTAGACCCAAACTAATAAGCTTAAAAAATAAGCTTCAAAAGGATCCAGACGATCTGCTAGTATGTTACCGGGAACGAAATTCAGTATACTTGCTAAGGATAACAAAATCCAGATGTTCAACAGTATCTGCATACCTAATATACTACAGTATAGCAACTGTAATGTCCAGCATGCAATAAGAAATTTCTAGACATTTACACAAGTAGGAATGTAGCCTATAACCAGGAGAAAAAAATGGTCAATGGAAACTGATCCCTGCAATTACAAATACCAGAATCAGCAGACAAGGTGGTTTACCTGTGCTTAAGCATATAAAGGAAGACATAGGGGAAATCTCAGCAGTAAAAGGGGAACCAGGTGAAAATTAGAACTGCAAAGTCCACAATCTGAGATGAGAATCCCACTGGATGGCCCTCAGGGGAGACTGAAGGCAGAAGACAGTCTCAGTTGATCTACAGATAGAGTAGGTCTTACAACCTGAAGAACACAGGGATCAAAGATGGAAAAAAAATAGAGCCTCAGTGACCTCTGAAGCAAAATACACACACGGAATAGGAGTTGCGGAAGAAAGAGATAGGAAACAGAGAAAATATGGAAGAAATAACAGCTGAAAATGTCCAAATTTTGTGAAAAACACAGTTCAAGCACCAAGTCCTGGAAGAAAATCAGCAGCCCTGGGGTGGTCTTACACATCAAGGCATAAAGTGGTGCAACTACTTTGGAAAAGATTGGACAGTTTCTTTGCCAAAGACCCATGAAAACATGATCACTGAAAGCTTTGCATGAGCAAAACAGTTTTATTCATTAGAGCCAAGACCTAGAAATGGCTCAGGGATCCATCAGCAGGAGAATGTGTAACAAATAGTTCTTTATTCTTACCACAGAATACCACTCTGCAAGAGAAAGGAACAAACTTTAAGTGATCAACTTAACGGTATGAGTAAATATGATAAACAGAATGCTGAGCAAAAGACACTAAGTTGCATTTATAATTTATGCTGAAAGAAATCAAAACATTTGTTTTGAGGGCGAGATAGGTAAGGGGCATATGAGAACTTCCTGGGTGATGGAAATATTACATATGTGGGATATGTGGTTGCGTGCATTTATCAGAACTCATTGAATTATACACTTCAGGTTTTTGTTTTTCACTCTGTATAGGTTTTACCTAAAAAAAGAAAAAAACTGTAAACAAGTACTGAGCTCTAGTTATGTTTGCTTTTCCCGGTGTTGTGGGACAGCTCATTCGGAAACTACCTTGTGTGTATTATAGATTCAAGCAGATGAGTGAATATATTGAGGCTAATGGAAGCCAGGTTTCTCACGACTATAGAAGGGAGATCAAGTACGGCCAGTGGGAAGCGTGCCCTTGTGGCGTGAGAATGTATGCCGAGACATCAGTGTGAATGTGTGTGAACTGTCCTGAATTACGTGTATAGAACTCCCTGCTAAACAGGCACGGAAACGGTGACATGCCAGGCATAGTGAGCAGTCCTAACACCCAGATCTTTGTCTCTAAATACTTTCTCCACCAAAGGGAACTAAGGTTCCTTTGAGAAGTGGTTCATTCCAGGGTGGGACAAAATAAGTCTCTTCCCTAGCATGGCCTGTGGTGGTGGCAGCCATCTCCCGCTTGGCATCATGGCTGCCCTCAGACCTCAGATCATTAAAAAGAGGCCCAAGAGGGGGGCTTGGGTGGCTCAGTCTGTGAAGCATCTGCCCTCGGCTCAGGTCATGATTCCAGAGTCCTGGGATCGAGCCCCATGTCTGGCTTCCTTCTCAGAGGGGAGTCTGCTTCTCCCTCTGCCCCTCATCCCGCTCATGTTCTGGCTCTCTCTTTCTCAAGTAAATAAGTAAAATCTTTAAAATTGAAAAAAAAAAAAAGAAAAAGAAATGACCAGGAAGTTCACTGGGCACTAGTCAGACCAATATGTCCAAGTTCAGTGCAGCAAGTAGAAACCCAGAGGCCCTGACAGTAGGGCACACAGAATGTTCAGGGACCAGATCTTGACGCCCAGCTCTGGTTCCGGAAGCAGCCGGAAGACAAAGCCCGTGCTGCCCAGTGGCTCCCGGAAGTTCCTCGTCCAATAATGACAGTAATGGGTTATATGATTTGTTAAATGAAGTGAAAATATTTGAATCCATACTGATGTCAAGATGATAAATGGAGAGAGGGAAAAGCTCTTTATAGTAGATGCCAGAACAGAGGAAGGCTAGAGTTGGAAAATCGTGAATGTGAAGAGAAGCGGGTAAAATTGGGTGAGGAAGACATTTCTTTGTAGTGTCAAAATAACTTCCCCTGACTTCCTGATTAATTATAAATGGAGGGTCACCTGGGTGGCTCAGTCGGTTATGCGTCTGCCTTCTGCTCAGGTCATGATCTCAGGGATTGAGCCCCGCATCTGGCTCCCTGCTCGGCTCAGCAGGGCCTCTGCTTCTGCCTTTCCCTCTGCCCCTCCCTTGTTTGTGCTCTCTCTCTTGCTTGCTTTCTCAAACAAAATCTTTAAAAAAATTATAAATGGAAAAGTAGTAACTGTACAGTGTAGAGAGACTTTAACCAAGTGGTCAAAGCTTGCACCACCTGAGATAAACCAGTGAGGTTCATCGAGATGGTCAGGTCAGTGGGATACCTGCTTTTCTGCAAAACCTTAATCTAATCTTGAGGAGACCTCAAACGTAAATTGGAGACGTTTGGTAAAAGAACTGGTCCCTTCAAGAGTATCAAGGTAAAGAAACACAAAGGTAGTATGAGGAGCTGTTCTCAGTAGAAGGACACTGATGAGATTGGCAGTGAAGATCCTGGTATGAACATACGAATGAGCCACAAAGGACGTCACTGGGACCCAGGTGAAGCTTGATGATGGACCAAGGATTAAATAATAGGATTGTGTAAGTGTTAAATTTCCTGATTTTGAGAGCTGTGCTCATGTAAGAAAATGGCCGTTCGGGGGAAAGATACAGTGAAATTAAAAATTGAGGGATAAAGAGCCATGATTATAACTTTTTCTCAGATGGTTCAGAGAGAGAATGATGAAGTGAATGGGGCAAAAATACAAACAGTTGGTGAATCTGCATAGAGGAAATTTCCCAAAGTTTATAGTTCCGTAGGAAAAGAGAAGGCAGGAAGGAAGCAAAGAAAGCAAATGACTTCTTAAGAGTCCCTGCAGCCTTCCCAAATTCATCGCCAGTGGGAGGCCAGAACCATCTCAGACTATCGTTGGGCCTGCTTGGGGCACGGCGGGGCGGGGGGGCAGTGCTGGGTTACAGCTGAAAAACTTGAGCTTCTAAAAGCCAGTTCCTGAAAATGCTTATCTTTTGCTTTATTATTACTATTTTCTTTCACAGCTGAAAATGTAGCCAAAAAATGGCAAGTGAGCCGAGAAGATCAGGACAAGTATGCAGTTGTGTCCCAGAACAGGACGGAGAGTGCCCAGCAAGCTGGCTATTTTGACAAAGAGATTATACCAGTTTTTGTATCTTCTAGAAAAGGTGAGTATATAGACTACAATGGTTTAAACATTGATGTACCTATTTATAGATAAGAATGATCCAAAAAATAATATACAGGAATGTTTATATATCGTGTCTTAGGTCTTTTAGGTTGCAAAGAAAAGGTTGATCTTGGGTACATCTGAAAATGGCGGGCTGGGGGCCATGTGTATCGGGTGCTGGAGGGTGAGAACATGGGGCACTGTGTTGGCTCTGAGCACTTCTGGTCCCAGAGTGTCCACACTGGTCTGTAGATAAGAGCAGGTTTTGTGTGAGAAACTGGAGCATTGGCTTATCATTGTTAGGAGGCAACAGCTGACCTTTTGCCCCTACAGGCTAAATCTCCTCAGAATCGAACCCGCACTACTTCCTGTATATGTCTGCATACAATTCGTGTTTCTTGAGGGTGCATGTTTTTGAGTCCTTTGCTGTTATCTCATATGGAATGTTCCGGTCAAAGAGCTCTTACTGATCAACTGTTCTGTTACCAATAACTGCCATTGCTTACGTCCACCCTTATGAGATTGGCTTTGACGTTCCCTGATCCTGTCAGTTGTAACCAGCTAAGTCCTACACCCCATACCTTTACCACCTTTCGCACAAAGAACTGCCTTCCTCAGAAAGGGCTGTGGTTGTGGAAAACACTCGAAGTATCTCATGAGGACAGCGCTTATAAAATCTGGGAACATGCACCTTTTATTTTGTGTACTTTCCTGTTGGAATTGAAGTATTTTTTAGTAAACCTTCTTTCCAAATTTGAAGCCTCATGTCTGAGGACTGCACCATTCCTGGCACACTCACTGCCATCTTGGTACTAATCTTGGTTAATTCATTTTCCTTTGCTCAGGTCTCACTGAAGTGAAAACAGATGAGTTTCCTCGCCATGGGAGCAACATAGAAGGCCTATCTAAGTTAAAGCCATACTTTCTTACAGATGGAACAGGAACAGTCACCCCAGCTAATGCTTCAGGTTTGAGTTCCTAAAGGGCAGTTGAGGGGAACCATCTTCTGCTAGGCCTACCAAATTGATGACTTTTTCATTTCATTTATTATTTATATGCAAATTATGCTAAGATCTTTAGTTGCTTGAAGGGAAGATGTAGTTTCTCTATATTTGATCATTACTAGCATCGCCCAATTTTTTTTTTTTAAGATTTTATTTATTTGACACAGAGAGAGACAGAGATCACAAGCAGGCAGAGAGACAGGCAGAGAGAGAGGGGGAAGCAGGCTCCCTGCTGAGCAGAGAGCCTGATGCGGGGCTTGATCCCAGGATCCTGAGGTCAGGACCTGAGCTGAAGGCAGAGGCTTAACCCACTGAGCCCCTCAGGGGCCCCTAGCATTGCCGTATTTTTGACTTATAAAGAATGGATTTGACTTCTCAATATCCGAACTAGACATATAGATGAAAAAGCAAATTAGGGAACCACAGAGTTTGATCTTGTCTCTCGATGCTTTTCCAAAACCAGAAACTCCCAATGCCTTATATGAGAGCGAGGCTATTTCTTTTTTGTTTTTTTTTTTTTTGAAGATTTTATTTGACAGAGAGAGAGAGAGATAGCAACAGAGGGAACACAAGCAGGGGGAGTGGGAGAGGGAGAAGCAGACTTCCTGCAGAGCAGGGAGCCTGATGCAGGGCTCAATCCCAGGACCCCAGGATGATGACCTTAGCTGAAGGCAGATGCTTACCCGACTGAGCCACCCAGGTCCCCTGAGCAAGGCTATTTCTTCTTTTTCTTTTCATTACTGTTCCCTCCCCCAGTCTTTCGATCTTTCCACTTTCCTCGGTTAAAATGTTCTGTGGTTAATTATGTCATATTACCAAACTTAGCATTTCTAATTACACTGGAAAATAGGAATTATGGGGGCGTCTGGGTAGCTCAGTCAGTTATGCACCTGCTTTCAGCTCAGGTCATGATCTGAGTCCCGGGATCGAGCCTCGTGTCAGGCTCCTTGCTCCATGGGGAGCCAGCTTTTCCCGCTTCCCCGCTTGTGCATGTTCGCGGTCAAATAAAGTCTTTAAAAAAAAAAAAAAGGCATTATGGCAACTGACTTTGTCAAGATTATGTATAAAGAATAATTGAACACGTGTCTTCAGGTGTTTGGAGAAAGTAGGCACAGGTATAGAACTCAATGAGCATTTCAAAAGCGAGGATGTTCATATTTCACAGGAATAAATGATGGTGCTGCCGCTGTGGTGCTAATGAAGAAGTCGGAGGCCGCTAATCGAGGGCTCACACCGTTAGCACAGATCGTTTCCTGGTCACAAGTAGGCGTGGAGCCTGCCATTATGGGGACAGGACCGATTCCAGCGATAAAGCAAGCTGTGAGTTTAATTCTGAATCTTGGCACCTGTTCTTTGTTGGGAGAATGAACGTCTTTGGGACCAGAACACCACGCTGTAATTCACTTTTCAGTTCCGCCTTCTCAAACCTTGGCTCAGATCCTCCACCCCAAAATGCCAAGGTTGAGCTTTTTGTTTATTCCTCTCAGATTTCATGTTTTTTCCCCCCTTTTATGAAAGTTTCCCCATTAGTCTTCAATGAGCTTTTTCATGTTAGTTGTATCTCTAGTCTGCTTCCCTGCCACAAAGAACAGCCAAGAACAGCTGAATCTGTTTTTTAGCGGAACCGATAAACCACGTAGATCATTTCACCTACACGTAATGTGTTACTACTTCAAAACTTTGATTCCAGAGGGATGTTTTCTGTGTCTTAGAATGGTTATCACTAGGTTCATGGAGGAACCCTTAAGAGATCCTCCGATGTCACATAGTATATGTTCTAGTATCTACAAGGAGGCGGCCACGTGGGTGTTTAGGCCTCTATTCCATTCATCTTCCCCTTAGGTTGCAAAAGCAGGCTGGTCCCTGGAGGATGTGGATGTATTTGAGATCAACGAAGCTTTTGCTGCCCTCTCCGTGGCAATAACTAAAGAACTTGGATTAAACCCAGAGAAGGTAAACCCGAGTGAGCAGTCTGAAGGATGGTTAGCAGATGTGCGTTTGCAGTGCAAATCTCATTGTAAACAGCAAACCCCAGGCACACATAGCTCTGTAGTGTGGCAGGCAGTGGCCATACTGTTACTGGGTGAACACTGGGAAGCTCCACTGGGACTCAGGGGTTCTTTTATTGCTTCTCAGGGCGAAACCCCTGGACTCTCTTCATTTACTTCTGTCGCAGAGCAGCCTTGACTTTTCTGAGCTAGTAAGGTAGTCAGGGCGCACGTCACAGGGCATCAAGTTCCTAAGCAGTTAAAATCAAAGTGGAGGGGCGCCTGGGTGGCTCAGTGGGTTAAGCCGCTGCCTTCGGCTCAGGTCATGATCTCAGGGTCCTGGGATCGAGCCCCGCATCGGGCTCTCTGCTCAGCAGTGAGCCTGCTTCCTCCTCTCTCTCTGCCTGCTTGTGATCTCTCTCTGTCAAATAAAAAAAAAAAAAAAAAAAAAATCAAAGTGGAACTTGAAAGGATAGTTTACTGGTGTAATGTTAAAAGGGAAAAGATAATTTAGGATTTTTACTCTGTGTCCACAGAATAAACGGTGTATTATCTTTTTCCCCTTAGGTCAACATTCAAGGAGGGGCTATAGCCTTGGGCCATCCTCTTGGAGCGTCCGGCTGTCGGATTCTTGTTACCTTGTTACACACGATGGAACGGAAGGGTGGACACCGTGGTGTTGCTGCCTTGTGCATTGGGGGTGGGATGGGCATAGCAATGTGTGTTCAGAGAGGATGAAATTACTTAACAATTAATCATGCCTAAACACAACTGGACCTTAACCTCCTTTTAAACTAGTACGGTACTAAATTACAGTATGTGAGATCATAGGACCAACCAAAGTGAGGATGGAAACCATCTTTCATGAGAACCCAAGGCTTGACAGTTTACTTTTTTTAATGTGTAATACTCAACAAGAGAATTGTATCCAACATTGTTATAAATAAAGGATAAAGCAGATCAGTCATCAAGGGCTCCCGAGTGAACGGCATCTTCGTAACCTCCATGCTTGTCATCTTTGCTCTCAGGGTGTAATTTGATGAGATCATCAATTCGAAGAATGGTAATTGCAGCTTCTGTTGCAAACTTCAAACTCTTCACTTTCACTATGGTTGGTTCGAACACCCCTGCTTGCTTGTTGTCTCGGGGTTTACCATTAACCAAATCAAGACCAATCCTGCAGTTTAGAAAAAACTATTCAATGGCATCTTATATAACGTACACCTATCCCATTCCAGCTCTTTAAATCTGGCCACTCCACTCCAATGCTCATCTTGGGAAATGTTGGGACCTTATGGTAGACCCCTGAATACTACAGTAGCTGATTACCAATAATGAGAAGTACTGAAAGAGTTGTAGAAAGGTTAGAGGATAGTGAGGACACTGTTTCTAAACATCATTTAACATCTTAAACAGGGACTGCTTAAGAAGATTCAGATCAGGGGCGCCTGGGTGGCTCAGTGGGTTAAAGCCTCTGCCTTCGGCTCAGGTCATGATCCTGGGGTCATGGGATCGAGTCCCGCGTCGGGCTCTCCGCTCGGCAGGGAGCCCGCTTCCTCCCCTCTCTCTCTCTGCCTGCCTCGCTGCCTACTTGTGATCTCTCTCTCTCTGTCAAATAAATAATAATAATAAAATATTAAAAAAAAAAAAGATTCAGATCACCCCAAAACAATCCCCCCTGCATCTGTGGGACCCTTGTACAAGTACAGGGATTACCCAGAGAAGCAGGAAGAGATCTGGGAGTCAGAGATGCTAATTAAAATACACCCATGCGAATATAATCACTAGCTATCAATCTTTCTGGAGTTTAAAATAAAGTTAACTACCACACAGGATACACAGATGACCATGAAAGGGACAAGGAAATTGTATGCTTACCATTTTAGATTTTTGCGTTCTGGATTAACCTGAGCCTCATTGTGGAAAGCTCTTAACTTTGCAACCAGATCTGTGGAGTCCTGGGCAGCGTTAACTGCCAGTGTGTTCGGAATAACAAGAAGCGATCTGGCAAACTCCGCAATAGCAAGCTGTTCCCGAGACCCCTGGGAAGAAAGACAATGCACTGTCTTCACAAAACCCACAGCAGCAGCACAGGTCTCAAGGGCATAGTAACCAAATGCCAAAGATGGGGTCCCAGGCCCTTCTTAAAAAAACATGTTATTAGATGTTCTTACCATGCTGGTTGCGTAGTTCTCAAGGTATATGGAAAGGGCTGCTTCTACAGCGCCCCCACCTGGAACCACGGATTTTGACTCCAAAACTCTCTTCACCACACAAAGAGCATCATGTAAAGAGCGCTCCATCTCGTCACACATGAAATCATTTGCCCCACGTAAGATAATTGATGCAGATGTGCGAGCCTTGGTGCTATTAAAAAAATAAGTTTTGTATCAGTATTTTTATAAAATAAATCTACCTACAAATTCACTGTAAGCACCTTAACTGAATTCTGCTCACAGTTCATTCAGACACAGAAGCAGTGTCTGGGCCCGGCAGAAGAGATGAAATGGTCACTCCACCTCCATTTACCACGGCCTAACATTGTTCTCTCCCATGCGTATAACCGCTCCTATCACTGCAAGACTAGAGCAGCAAATCAATGGGAAGGCCATCTACTTCTACACATCAATAAAATCTGTACAGCTTCATGATTTAGAAAGCAGCTTACTTTTTGATCAAGATCAGCTCATCATCACAAATTCTCTCCTGTACCACCTCTTCTGCTTGCCCCAACATTGAAGCTTCAAAAGTTTCTTCTCCCTCCAAATTGGCCAGGGTTGACAGAACAGTTGCTATTAAAATAATGACAAAGATCTGTAAGTACTGTTTTCCCATGAACGTTTTCATACCTGGTCTTAAATTCAGAAACATTTATGATAGAAGTAATACACAGATGCAAGTTTAAGGTTTACAGTTAGGCATCAGACAAACCACCGTCCTTTTATCCTGACATGGAACTATGTCATTTTGAGGTAAAGAAATTCAGCATAACTTTTCCAGTAACATGAAAAGTGACTTCATAAGATCTCTCTGTCACATGACGCGTTAAGGGAGTAAAAAGTAAAAACTTGATGTTTCTGAAGCTGCTTAGTGAGGACTTTCCAATGTAAAGACGCACACTGGTACTTATGGTAACATGACACACCACAGCTGGAGCCAGCAGAGGCCCTACCTCCAGAAGCTTTAGCGATGCGTTTAAGGTCCCTTTTTAAAACTCTTCTAACTGCCATAGCGCCTGTCTCCACAAAATACTTCAGACACATGTCATCAATTCCACCAGTGGTTAGAATAACGTTGGCACCAGTAGCCAGGATCTTCTGGATCCGCTCCTTGGTGATATCGGATTCTCTACAGAGAAATGAGAACCCAAAGTCATCTTCTGTGTTTATCTAGTTCTAACTTCCATTACGTACTTCCCACAAAATAAATGCACATTAAATTACATCATTCTTTCCCTTCTGTGGCCGAAATTTAAATCAATTTACAGAAAAGTTCAAAAAATTTTAAAATTACCACCTGTGCCCTCCACCCCAATGGGAGTTCCTAACAAAAAACTGTGGTTAGAAAGGAAACAGTGACCCTGTCTTTAGGGATCTGGCAGGTGAACACTCAGCCATGCTCTGGACAAGAGGTACCACAATGGAATGCAGAGATGCTGAGAGGCCAGACTCTAGCCTGCAAGGTGACATGAGGAAAGCCCGAAGGCCCGGGGTTAAGAAGGGTGCAGCACTGAAAGGGCCAGTAGGACCAGAAAATGGAAAACCTTTTGTAGGGATGCTAGTATGTGGACTGCTAACAAGTTTAGTATTTTTAAATAGAGTATTATCAAATCGGTGTCTTCAAAAGGGTCCCCTGACATCAGGGGGGAGACTACACTGGAAAGATGGAGGAATGAGGCAAAGAGGAAGTAACCTGGAGATCGAAGACCATGTCTGATGAGAACAGATGGTCTGAACAGAAGTCTCGGTTTATGGCCGAGGTGATGGAGAGAGTCAGCCAATGACTCCTGGAGTAAAATGGTTCAGGATGACAGAGAATTCAGTTTTTGAAAGGAGCATCCTTCACGCGAGCTGCCAGGAGGCAGGCAGACACAAGATGGAAATCGTAAGCAAGCTATGAGGAAGGGAAACAGATCCCAAAGAGGCAAAATACCCATCACTGAAACCATCTCACTTACCATTCAAAGAATTTTTAAAGTAGAATGAATTCAAGATGACCTCAAATTAACCTCCCCGTGCATACAGAGCTAGATGCCACACTGCAGGCAGGAGCTGCGAAGCCAAGCACTTCCTTGGGGCTCCGCCTCTGAAGCTTAAAGTCTGAGTCCTACAAACACACACAAAAACCGTGCAAGGCCCAGGAAGATCAAGTGGAGAACTCACAGCAGAACAGAATTTAGACTGACGGAGAAAGAAAAGTTTTGAGAGACTGACCAGCTCAAGAGTAAGTAAAAAATTAAGCAGTCAAAACCAGTAGGGAGAAGGTACATCACAGTGCAGGAAAGAAAATTATTAAGGACCGGGGGGGGGGGGGGGGGGTCTGATGGATCCTAGTTCCAGGTGTGGCCAGACCACAGAGGAAAAAAAACATTGAAGAAATTACAAAATCTGTTCCAGAGCAATGGGAAACCTACAAAAAGCTCTGCCCTTGGAAGTGATGAGGTCGTTGTAGCTGCTGTGTGGAGAAGTCTGGGAGAGGGGGAAGAGTGGAAACCAGGTGGCCAGTTTGGCTGCCCCAACAACAGTGGGCAGGAGAATGGAAAGCAGATGAATTTGAGATTTAATTTGATGATAAAAATCAAGTGGTTTTAAGTGAGAGATTAGAAGAAAAAAGGCATGAGGTAAAAAAAGGAGTTAAGAATATTTCCTAGTTTTCTCCAAGGGTCCTCATCACTAAAGCGGCACTAGCAGATTTATGTTCAGTTTTAAACACCAACTCTGCGATGCCTACAGTGTTCATAGGTGTTTGAAGCTCTGAGAAACAGATTTGAAGTTTCCAGCACTGACATAGTATCTGCAGTCCTAGAAGTGACAAGGAGTTATCCCAGGGACAGCAGAGCAGAGCCCGGGGCTGCCCAGGCATACAAATACCGAGGGGGCAGTACCATAATGCCATGGCCGTCTCTTCAAGTGTTTCAAGAAGGGAGTAGTCACTAGCTTGACGATGGTCAAATGAAGACTCAAAGTGTCTAGTTTTCTAGAATTTTACCCTAGGGGCCAACAGTGACCTTAGCAAATGGTCCTCCACTGGAGAACAGATTAGAACTGAGAAGGAGATGAGAAATAAAATACCAGCAAACCGATTTTGTGTAAAAAACTTGGGACATCCAGTGGTGAAGAGATGGGGAAGGCTAGAGAGTAAGTGGAGCAGGATGTGAGTAGGAGGCTTTTATCTCTGGTTAAGAGAGCTACAAAGCGGCTGCAAGTAGAATTTAGAAGAAGAATGAGAAATGGAATTCGTAACTGGAGATGCAGCTTGAGTACACTTACACTAGAGGGACTGGCCTTTGGTCAAAGAAAGGATACTTTGTCTACTGGGAAGAAAAAAGTACATATGCAGATCTAAAGGAGAGAGCCACATCTTGGCAAAGATTTCTTGTAGGTTTGGGTCAGTTACTGTGTTTTATTTTTTAACAAAATCAACTAATCATTAAAATATGTGAACGACAGGGGTCCAGTGGAAGCAAGCAGTCAAACTGAACTCTAGCTCTCTAGCATGCTAACTGATCAGTAACTATGTAGCACCCCCGAGCTCCTGGCATACAGGAAGCATTCAATCAACACTACGCTGTTTATTTGAGAAATTATGTTTGTGGATATATCTTTAGTGATATCTTCATGCATCAAATCAAAATTTTCATCGAAGCTGTATCACCAAATCTATCTTAAAACAACAAGTCACCTCCGCTTTCTAACTTTCCAGAGAAAGTTTGACTTTGGTAAAGATTAAGTTTTCGGGACACTTAGG